ATTAGTGTTGTTCTTGTTCATCATCATACTCACGGTGGTTACCTTGCGATCGTACAGAGGAGAGAAATAGGAGTGGAAGTTGGATATCTATGAATGGAGAATATATACTAGTAGGAGCTTGCTAAATATTTGGTTGTGCTTGGAGAATGAGGATGCCAGCACGACGCTTCCTCCCCACAGTGCCATGTGCACTGTTTCTAATCAACGCCTACACCCTATCTGTTGATGGTGCCAGAGTGAAACCCTTGTACTATGAAACTTACCTCATATACTTAACCCTAATTTCTAAAGAGATCAGTAATAATTTTTTCATACAGTTTTTTTATCTTAATAATTTAATATTGTTTATGAGAAACTAATGTTAATTAAGTTAATTTTATAATGACATTAGTTAAATTGCAATTTAGCTAAACAGTATGAAACTGTATTCTGAATATATATATATATATATATATATATATATAATTTAGTAAAAATCAAGGTTGCCCCGGCACCTTATTTCAAGAAACCTTAACACTCTTGATTCCCTGCATAAGAGATCAACCATAACATCTTTTTTTTTAGAAGCCTTGTTTTAATATTACTAATACAATTTAAATAATGTTATAAAGTTTAATAATAAAAAAACTGTTATTACTAATAATTTTAAATAATGTGAAAGATTTTTCCAAGATTTTCTCTTTAATAATATGAATTATTTATAAATAAATATTTTTTTTATCTAGTTTATTGTATATGATTTCCAACTAATCATCATTAAAAATCTTAAATAAAAAAATATGTGAATAATTTATTATAAATGTTAAATTATTAAATTTTCAAGAAATTAATAAATTAAATACTCATTAATTATGTCATTCACTTCTTATAATAAAAATTATATATTATAAGTATCTATTTACCACGTGTTTATATATATTTGTGTGTCTACGTAGATTGCATTCATCAAATACAAAAAATTAACGGCTCATGTTTTCAATTGAAAGAGTTTTTTTTGTTTAAGGGTGGTCTTCCTATGCTTCAATTTTTTCTGCCTTTTTTAAAGTAAAAAAAAAAAAATAAATAAATTCATCAGATAATTTATATATATTAATCATAATAAAATATAAATAATTTTTAAATATTAATACACACACTCCATTTATTTTAAAAATAGTATTTTCTTTTTCATAAACTGTGTATAATATAAATGAAAATTTTCGTATTTTTTAAAGTGTTTTTAAACATCTTATATAATATTTAAATATAGCAATTGATTTAATTGATTTTTTTTTTTTTGTAAATCCATTCAAGAAAATCTAATAGAATTAAATTGATATTATTTAGTGGATATTAGTTTTAAATGGAGAGTGTCTCTTGAAAAGCCAACAAAGGAATACTTGGTGAGTAATATGATTCTCCATGAGAAGAGCAAACATTAATCTGCAATGGAGCAAAAAGTTGATCTGATGAGGAAGAAGAAATTAACAAAACTCAAGGTTTCTTCTAGCTTTAGTTATGATATGTGAATATATATATAATAACCCACCAAGCCTTTTTTTTTTTTTTTTTTTTTTTTTTTTAAATTAGGTTTCCGAATCCGAATACCCCCATCACACACACACACACTTGGAAAAATATTCCATCTCTCAAAAGTGAAAAAAAAAAAAAAAAAAAATTACAAACATAATTAGCTTTACCCTTAGTTTTTTTTTTTTTTTTTTTTTAAATTTTTCAACAGATAAACTAAAAATGAGATTCATGGGGTAGCAGTGAATTAGGGTTTTTATGAGTCGTAGAGCATCTCAGGACATGAAATATAATTGGGTGGCTTTCATAATCAATTGGACTAATAATACAAAAGAGAAATTACCCAAATATTCTGCAAAACACATCTTTAAGACTTTCTTGCCATAATATTTAATTTCAGATACTATTTTTGATTGACTATCCATCAAATTGTTATTCCCTCCTAATTTCCCAAGTCAGTCTACAAGGAAATAACCCTAATCTTTATAAAAAGCTACCAATACGTGTATTAATTTTAAGAAATAATATATAAATAAAAGAAGCTTAGAATTAGAAGAGAAAAAATGCAACAGCTTATTTCCAAGTTGGATTAAGGTACAAGTAAGAATCTTATTTAAAAGAAAATATATACTGACTTTTTTTTTTTTTTGTCAAGTATATTTTTTGTAATTCTTAGTAAATAGTTCAGTATCTTATGGCTCAATTTTTTGTCATTAAATATGAAAATAAAATTTAAAAAAATTAGTTAAAGATTGTTTCTTAATTTTTAATCTTAAACATTATTAACATTTTTCTTATTTTCCAAATATTATCTAAAAAAATTTACTTGTATAACAAAATATTATTAAACTGTTTCCGTAAGAATTATGAAATTAAATTGTAATTATATTGAATTACTTTTTTTTTTTTTTACTTTTTGTATGATTTTATTCACACAAAAAATAATATTTATACGTGGTATGTAGTAAAAATGCATCAGTTAATTGATAAGAAATCTTTCAAAAAAATGTTAAAACTATATTTTAAGCTTATCTTTATAGTCCTCAACAAATATACGGAAGGAATTTGGAATATATCCTGGTTTTTAGTATTTATAGAATTAAAAATAATTAATTTTCAAATTTCAGTGATTTTAATAAAAATTTGAAAACGTATTATTTCAATTAGATAATGAAATTTTTATATAAATGTTAGCTATTTTTATTTTAAAAAATAAGTATTTCAAAACTCGGGCATAAGAATATTTAAATAAATAAATGGTGTTGTTGGGTCGAGAATGAGGCCCCCGGGTGAAGCAGTGGGTGGTGGGGCTATTTTTTTTTTTTAAAAAAAATTGAAAAACATAAAAAGCTCCTCCTTATCGGCCCAACAACTTTAGGATATAATCCAGAAGCAAATAAAGATTTTTGCTTGTATTTTTCTTCTTTGGTAGGACGCCAAGGTTTCTCTTAAAACGTTTGAAAACACTTTTATATTAAATTTGTAAATCATTTTTTACAATTTAAATATTATTCACAAATAATTATTTTTACAGCGTTATTTTTCCTAAACAGTTTCTTAATTATATATATATATATAAATAAATAAATAAAAACAAATCACGAGGCATCGCCCCAAGACGTCCCTTTTTTCAACACCCTAACACGTTACACGTTACACCCCATATCATACTGTCTCCTTCCCACACTACACAACCTACGGCGCAATTTAGCCCAACCCCACAAATATCATATTATAATGTCACCACTCCGCACACGCGCAGGCAGCGCGTCGCATCAACTCCGGCAAATGCGCCCCTCTACCCCACTCTCCGCGCACCGTATCGTATACCAATACAAGTCCCTCTCGTAATCCTTGTTGGCTCCTCCCGCTTCTTCTCAACAAGTCATCTATGCACCCCACCACCTGAACCAACACCACCTTCTCCCCAACTCCTACACAGCTGAACCTCACCGTGTTGTCCAGTCTCACCTGACTCGGCACCGGCGGGGTCTTTATCCTTTGCCACTCCCCAAAACCACCGCCGTTTGTGCTCTTCCGTCGTCCCTCGAATCGCCAAAAAGACAGCTCCACGGCGTGGCTTGCCAGCACGTACACCTGCCCCATCACTGCACATGCCGCCACCACGCACCCGCCGCCCGGAAGCGCCCGACTCCTCAGCCATCCACGCGCCTCCACGTCGTACATGTCGATGGAGCTGGCATAAACGTGCGCCTGAGCCCCTGTAGCTCCCCCCCTCGCTGATTCGTTTCCCACCGCGCCGCCGATTCTCAACCCGCCAATCACGTAGAATACTCCGTCGGCGGCTGCCCCGACGCATCCATACCGCTTCCTCGGTGCTTGGGCGACCACGCGCCACCTGTCGGTTTCAGGGTCATACTCCTCAACGGCTTCCGCTGCGGCCGCTCCAGCTCTGGAGCCGCCGCCTCCGGCTACGTAAATCTTACCTTGGACGACGGCGGTGGCGAACTTTTTGCGAGGGAAAATCATGGGAGATCTGGCGACTAGGGTTGTTGTCCAAGTGTCGTATCTCACCATGGCGTTTCTGCCAATGAGGTATAGTCGCGGTCCAACGGCTACTGCGCGAGCATGTGAGAGAACTCCCTGAATATGGTGAAGGGAAAGAGAGGTGATGGGGAGAGAGAGAGGGAGTGTCCATGATGCATTGTCGCATTGGAAGGGAAGAGAGGCAACGAAGAGGCCGCATTCAGTAGCGGAGATGGCGAAGAGGGAAGGATGAAGAAGGTGAAGGGTTCGGCGGAGGTGTAGGAAAGAAGAAGAGAGGAGGAGGCGGGACCATCGGCGACAGACAAGGGAAAGGGAAGAGATGGAGGAGGAAGGGACTCTGGAGAGACATTCGAGGAGAAGGTCGTCTGGGAGAGAAGAGAGATTGGTTTGGGGATGAAGAATAGGGGTGAGAGGGGTGGTGGTGTCATGGGGGTTGGGGAAGCATGATTTCATGAGCCATGAGAAATGGCGAGAATTGCAGGTGTCTGACATGAAGTAAAAGACAGAGATGAGATTGGTTTAAAAAAATCTGGTCTAATCACATTGACTGTTCATAGTTTGGGAGTGTTTGTAGTTGCAGTTAGTGATGGAAGTGTGTAGTGTCAAAACAGGAAACAATTAAGAAGATGAAACAAATTTGAAGAAGTTTGAAAACGAGATTCAGATTCAGAAATGGAAGTGTTTGGAGTGAATGTGAGATACTTTTGAATCCATAGGCGGAAAGGACAAAAGTGTTGTTTTTCATACAAAGTATTTCAGGAAACTACACCTGGGCTGGACTCTTAATGACATGAAACGGCCCAAAACAAGCCCATTTACACTAGCTTTCTACTTCGGGTCGGATTAGAGGAATTTCGTTGGGAAGAAGATATAATAGGCATGAGTTCAAGTCCAGTTAATTCCCAACACAATGGTTGAACATTTTTTAAAATTTTTTTTTATCAGAAATAAAAGTCAATTTATTAAAATATAATTTGAAACATGTGTCGCGTTTAACTTAGAAGTTTATTTCAGTTTTTAAAGGAAGAGTCAATTTCACTTAGAAAAAGAAAAGATAAAGTTATGGGTAATTAAAATTTAATTTCGAAAATGGATCAAAACCCAACTGTTGGGGGCGGAGAAAAGCAAATTCGGACTTTTCAACGCTTTAACACTTTTTTTTTTTTTGTATTTTACCAAAAGAAAAAGCAAAATAATGTTCCTCGAGGGATTTGTAAAGTTTTATAAACCCCACATTTCCCTATATAAAAAGTAGTTCCCTTATTTATCTTTTAATTCATTTGGATTTTCTAGAAAACAATTAATATAACATCTCCTGGTGAGAATAACTGAAGTGAATTTTAATAATTATTTATTATTTGAAGGTGGGTATTTTATTTTATTAAAAATCAATTTTAATGTACCCTCAGGTTTATTAAGGAATTGAACAAAAACACTTTGTTAAGAGAAGGAGATGGTTTACCGCAACTACCGACAGCGAGAGGCAGAAGAGAAAACCCCCCAAATGGCAGGCCTGCTTGGTGACCTGTCGGGCGTGCTCCGTAAAACCCCATCATACGATGGTGGGACCTACCTCCACATTTAACATTTCATTTCCGTGGTTTAAACATTTATTTCGTCCCACTTTAATTTGGCCTTCTGCAAAATCCTTCCTAAACCCGCTTGTTACATTGCCACAAATTTGTTTTTTTCTTATACCTTTTTATGTTCGGCTTCCATCAACATAATTAATTAGGTAAAAAATAATTATCTTTAATTTAAACATCATTGCATGCTTGACTACGTTAATCCTTCCCTAATATATATTAATTTTTTTTTTTAATAATAATTCACACTGAAACTGATTATACAATACTTTTAGTACACGAAAATAAAAGTAAATAAGTTAGCGGCGCTAATAAATTGACATGCGGTTCTTCCCAAATCTCTTTTGTGGTCCCATCGCATGAATGGTAGCAGCTGAACTTGTGGCGTGTCGTCCTACAATATCTTTTTTTTGTTAGCCTGGACAGAATTTCATTTTCTGATTTTCTGTCCCAACACCACTAAATAAAATAAAATCAAAGCTACATAAATTATGAAAAAAATAAATTAATAACTAATATATTTTCAATTTAATGGTGGCGAAAATATTTATTTAAATGTATCGTATTAATTACAGGGCTTATACACGTGATTTTCATCCAGACTATGTTTAAGACTTTGACATATATATATATATATTATATTATATGATTTTGATGGCTGAATGTTGAACCCTGATTGGAAAAGCAACAAATTTAAACCACCGACACTACTAGTTAATTAACTATAAATCAATATGCCATCCCTACTATTTATTACATAACTATTCTCTGCTCTCTCTACCAAATGAACTTGTTTATACAATTCATTTTTTGTTCTTATTTAACCACTTACTTACCTTGGACCGTCCGAACCAGAAAATTATTATGTATACACTTTGGTTTGGTTTGGTAAAATTATTTTACCTGCGGATCAGTAAAATAAAAGGAATACAGTTGTCTGGAAGATTCGATTTCCGTATAAATAAATAAACCTCCGTGGGAAAATGAAACACACACCCCTAATTATTACTTCATGTCTTTTTGCTTCGCCAGCCATTTTAAATGTACGTTGTTTATTGCCGCATATAATTTGCATTTCCGCGTTATACCAAAATTAAAATTCAATTCTCTGTCAATGGGAAATAATTGTTACTTGATTTGATATTACAACAAATTAAATTTTGGTCCTCCCTTTTAAATCCATATAAAATTAAGTTTCATACATTTAACCTTATAATATTTACTTATTTGAAAAATGAAAAAATAAAAATTATTAATTAAAGAAAATACACGACTCAAACAAATTTTGAAGTCAATTACTACTTACTTAACTTGTTTTTGGTATACCCTGTCGTGCTCTGTGTGGCATATTATGGGTATATATAAATTAGATAGTGTACAAATTTTGACTACATACATTCTAATTTATATATATATATATGTAAAGATATCTGCCTTTATTTGTAAATTTTAAAGAATATTTTATGGATTTTAATTTATATACCTGTCGTGGTATAGGGTATTTTAGTCATGGTCAGCAATTTTAAGTTATAATTATAAATGGCAAGTTAGTGCATGCGGTTTGAAATTTTTAGCCAGGCTGGAAACGAAGAGTTTAAATTGGTGGAGTCCTGCTATAAATCATTTTTAACTAAAAATATAAATTATTTTCGATTTTATTTTAGCCATTATAAAATAAATTATTTTTAAAGATAGGCGAAATCATTTATATGCATATATTATTGTAAAATCGTATTTTTATTTATTATTAAAATCATTAACCATAAATCCTTTAGTTAAGTAAATATTTAGATTATAGTTTTCTCTTCTCTTATTAATTTAAACACGTAATTAACAAAATTTAAGAGCATATGTTTGTTTATAATAGCTTTAGATATTATTTCATGATTATGAATAATATTATATTTAGTAGTAGAATTGGATCTGACATTAATTATCTGTCACTCACCGACAGGACTTCCGTTTTACTTTCCAATCTTCAGTTTTTACCTTAAAGTGAGGTAAAGCGGGCAGTGGGGAAAATAACCGTAAACGGCAAAATTATTTATTACGGTGGATAGTCAATCCAAAAACTATGGTAAAAACATAAATAAATTGAACATAAATGTTGTAAAAATACGAGGTAAAATTAGATTGGACCGTGAAGGACGGCATTAATTGTTAGGGAAAGAGTAAGGTTATAGGAAGTAACCGTTTAAAACAGAATCCGGAGGGGTTGGGGTCCCATAAGGCAATGGTTGGGGTCCACGTCAGAGCTTTACAAAAAGAGCCAGCTTTCATGCCCAGTCATTAGTACCCTGGCAAACTATAGCGACAGGTGTACTGGTATTTTCGTAATTCTAACGAGATCGCGACCTATTTACGTACTTTCAAATCTTACATTTACTAATTAGAAAATTTAAACAATAATATTAAGTGGGAGTGGGAAGAAAGGGAGAAGTCTCTTCTTCACTGGCCTCTCTCTGTCGGCTATGACCCTCCTTTGACGTTTGTGTGCATCGTAATCAAAATACCACCCCCGTGTTGCAGGAGAGGAGAGAGGTTCAGATAATCGACGGCAGTATTCTTAATTAAATATATATATATATAGATATACCACCGCCTGTTCAATCGCCGGAAACCGACGGCATCATGAGGAAGGACTCCCCGCCGGCGACTGTACCCACTGCCACCGTCGGTAAGTTCTTCCTTTGCTTCGAAACGAAGCCCTTAGTGGCCACATTGATAGCACTCACACTCGTCATGCTCGTCTGGAACCTTCCTCCATACTACCAAAATCTCCTCTCAACTACCCGCCCTTGCTCCGCCACCCCCACCCCCTCCACCACCACCTCGCTTATCGCGGCAAACGATTCGGCAACCCCATCGTTTTCGGCTAACCCAGTAGCAGCGCAGAAATACTCCGCTTCTAAACCCACCGACCCCAACAAGCGAGTCTTCCAGGCTTACGGTAACGCGGCAGCCCTTTTCGTACATATGGGTGCGTACCGCGGCGGTCCCAGGACGTTTGCGGTGGTGGGTCTGGCATCCAAGCCCATCCACGTGTTTGGGCGTCCCTGGTTCAAGTGCGAATGGATCTCCAATAACGGTACATCTATGAGGGCTAAAGCCTATAAGATGCTTCCTGACTGGGGCTATGGCCGCGTTTATACAGTTGTTGTCGTCAATTGCACTTTCGCTGAAAATCCTAACGCGGATAACGCCGGTGGCAAGCTGCTTATCAATGCCTACTACGGGGAATCGCAGAGGAAGTACGAGAAGTTCACGGCCTTGGAAGAAGCGCCTGGATCTTACAACGAGTCCAAGTACCACCCTCCTTATCAATACGAGTATCTTTATTGTGGGTCTTCCTTGTACGGGAATCTGAGCGCCTCCAGGATAAGGGAATGGATGGCTTATCACGCCTGGTTCTTCGGACCCAGTTCCCATTTTGTTTTCCACGACGCTGGTGGGGTAACGCCTGAGGTGCGGAAGGTCCTCGAGCCGTGGGTCAGAGCCGGTAGAGCCACCGTTCAAGATATCAGGGCGCAGGAAGAGTACGATGGATATTACTATAACCAGTTCTTAGTAGTGAACGATTGCCTGCACCGGTACCGACACGCTGCTAATTGGACATTTTTCTTCGATGTGGACGAGTACATCTATTTGCCGGATGGTAGCAGTCTGAAATCTGTTCTAGATGAGTTTTCGGATTATACTCAGTTCACAATTGAGCAAAATCCCATGTCCAGTGTCCTCTGCTTGAACGATTCCACTCGAGATTACACTAGGTGTGTGCCCATTTTAAGATTCGCCTTTTATGTTAAAAATCTAATTAGTAGAGGTCTCAGTCCAGAATTTCCTTGCATTCTTTGTTCTTTGGGGTGTGAATTGGACTTTGGACTCTGTTTTACATCTGGAATGGAGCATTGTACAGTGCAAATGTGTTTATATAAGGTAAGAATGTTAAATCTTGCTGATCTGTTTTTGGGTATTTTCCAATTCAGGCAATGGGGATTCGAGAAGCTCCTATTCAGGGATTCAAGAACAGGAATCCGGCGTGACAGGAAATATGCTATTCAAGCTAAGAACGCATATGCAACAGGGGTTCACATGTCGGAGAATGTAGTTGGCAAGACATTACACAAGACAGAATCCAGAATTCGATACTATCACTACCACAACTCCATAACAGTACACGAGGAGCTTTGCAGGGAATTCCTTCCTGAATCAGCCAAGAAGGAGGTTACATTATACAACAAGCTTCCATATGTCTACGACGATAACATGAACAAGCTTGTCAACACCATCAAGGAATTCGAACGCAGAACAATAGGAAACGTGTCGAGCTCCTCATAGTTTGCAGAGCTGGAAATTAGTTAACAAAATCTTTTCGTCCCCCACCAAGTCCTCAAAGTCTGCAAATTGTGATAAAGATGGACGTGGTTGTGCTAAAATTTCAGAAGTCCTGCATCTGGGTCTGCAGAAAGTAAAGTAGTGTTCCGTCGGCAGGGATGAATGGTTGTGATTAGAGAAAAATAGTGAAGTGGGAGAGGAGGGGAGGGCCCCTATACTGCTTTGATTTTGTCTATATTAAAAGGTGAGTGTTTTACCTTTTCTTTTTCGTTTTTTCACTTTCTTCCATCAATAACTTGATTTCATTTATACTTTTAGCCTAAATTTTTAATTTGTTCACCGCTTTCTTTCTTTCTTTATATTCTTCAATTTTTGTTATTATAATAAAAAGAAATGTGCAATGATAACGATGCCAAGGATATACCAAATCTATATTCGGGGGAGATGCTCCCGACAATATGTTTGTGCCCATGTTTATCTTCTTCTTTACAGAATAGATTCAGCAGCAGAAGGTTTTGAAATTAGGGAGACTTTTAAAAAAGAAAAGACTTGTTAGTGGCAATGGAGATCTTAATTTTGGGTTTATTTATTTTTTTAAGGAAAAAAAAAAAAGTATGACAATTCAATTTCTAGGATTAGGTGTTTTCAGAACTAAGCATGTAGTTTAAAATAAATTGTATGATAATAATTCATTTATTGTGGCATTAAAAAGCTAATGGCTCTTGTTCAATCCTTAATCCTTTAGTGGCCAGGAAGATAATTGTCGCATTAGCCTATTATTATTAATGAGGTGCCAAATGTACATTTGAGAAGGGTTTCAATTATTTGAGGGGGATTTTCTATCTAAAACCAATTATTGAAGAGGGGAATTAGGGTTTGATATTGAATTTATATATTGTTGTATGGCATTTTGTGGGATACCCATTTGATTGTTTGAGCAGAATGGTATTTGCATGTGATGGTCTTATGGATTCCCATAAAAAGATTGATTATATATATATATATATATGCACAGATCAATTGGAATATTTAAATTTTTGTAAATACTATATTTAAATTAAATGGACTAATTATTTATTAACAAATAATTGATATTTTTAGTTTTTTTTTTTTTTATAGAGATGTTATAATTAATTATATTATTATTAGTGTAGTAATATAACATAATGAATAATATTTAAGTGTTCACATTATGAAGGGTGAAAATGGAAACAGGTGGGTGAATGTAGGATATGGCCAAAATATGAGCAATTAGTGAGGTTGTTGATAAAGGAATTGATTAGTTGGGTTTGTGATTAATTAAGGTTGGTGTTAATTTCAGATTAGCATTTGATGTGACAATTACAATAACCTCTCACGGACTCATTATTTTCTACATATAAATTTGTTAATGCGTGCCAACAAGTTGTTAATTATGGTGGACATTAATGCAAGCAGCTCTTCATAAACAAAAACAAATTCCAATTTTCTAATTATTGTATTGGTAGACGGGGGGGAAACCAAACGACGCCGTTTGTTTTAATTGCTTTAGCTTTTTTCATTAGGTTAATATTTCATTTCAGTTTTTCAATTCAAATAAACATGTTTTCGGAATAAATTAAGCTTTTTTTTTTTAATTTCAAATGAGTGTCTCTTTAAATATATTTTAAGAAAATATCAACTTTTAATTTTAAACTGCAGAAAGTTATGTTATATATATATATATATATATATATTTTCTACTTCAGCTTCCAAAATTAAATTTATAAATTATAAAATTGATACTACCCAGATCTGTATCTACTAAAAATTTGTTTAGAATTGCCAAAAGAGAGATAGTTATGACACTATTTCAGGCATTTAGCTATTTGAAACTAGTAAAGTCCAGAGCCGTACAAAGTTGCTTCAACTAATCAGTTGTCAAATGATCAAGTGAAAAAACTTTAAACTTCTTGCAAACCAATGGGATAGACAGAGACCTATAAAATCAAAAATGTAATACCGGATTCAAAATTTAGTTCGAAATTAATTTTAAGAATTAAAAATTAATATATAGAAATATAATTTATAAATTTATAAATTTTTATTTAAAGTAAAAATTAGAAAAAAAAAAAGAGTATAAAATGAAATTGAAAACAATTTTGAGAAAAATGGATGAAAATTTGGATTCGAATGGTATTTTTGAAAGAAAACTCAGAAACTGATGATCAAAATATAATTTAAAAAAAATGTGCTACGTAGGACCATACAGTCAGCAGCCCTGACGAACCGGAGCGTATTGCATGGCAAGACACGCTGATTCGGTGCCACATGGAAGGCTACACTGGCAAACTGTGTACCTACGATCGGACAGTCCAGATTCGTTCTTGTGCTTGTAGATGGTCCAGATCCGTTCCTTTTTCATGCACGATCGGACGGTCGCAATTAAACATGATGAATAGTTCAAATTCGTTCTCTCTTTAAACGCAATCATACGGTTCGGATTAAATCGCGATGAACGGTATAGATTCATTTCATCTTTAAATGCGATCGTATGGTCGAGATCAAATACAATAAAAAATTCAGATTAAAGAATGACGAGTATAAATATCTCAGTCCACACTGAATCCTAACCCTATTCGCCAACCCCCCGCCGGAGAAGAAGAACCAGTCCCAGGAGAAAAGAGCCGACCGCCGCCCGTCGCCGCACCGGAGTCACATTCGACTGCCAAAAAAGGTAAAAAAATTTCTCATTCGCTCAAAATTTGATTTTAAACACCCTCATAACTAAATTGAAGCAAAAGAACCGGCAGATAAGTCGAAAACAGCAAGTAAAACCCAACGGCGCTGTCGCAGAAAAAACTAAAAATTGTATTCAACGAGACCCTTCACGATTCTCGTTTCATCTGATTTTTACATCATTGTATTCACCATTCTGTTTTTCACAGGTTGACTGAAAAAAAATGCTCAACCGCAAGGTGAGCTGGCGAAGCTGCCGCATTGAAAAACTCCGCCAGCGGTAAGTTTCTATTTTTTAACTTTTTTCGCCCAACTGATGCCCCTTAATGTATTTTATCACAGGAATGAGTATAAAATCGGCTGAAATCGACAAAAACTAGCTGAAAATAGCCAGTCCGAGGCAAACTACTGTTGCGAACGGCGGTGCCGCCGTGCCAGAATTTTGAAATTGGCCTGAAAAAGTTTTAACACCGATTTATGGATTTTTGGGGTATTTCTAGGTACTTAAAGGGTATTATAATATCCAAAAGAAAATTTAGTGAACCTAGGGACCGTCAGTAAGCGCAACTAAAAGTTTAGCGTTTCGAAAACTGATTCAGGTAAGAATCTCTCACCTTATTCTTTGTTATGTAATTGAAGTTTAATTATAAATAATACGACATTTTACGTAATTTAAAAAATTCAATAATTAATTACAGGTTACTAATGGAGCCGGAACTAGTTATTTATCACTGTTTATCATATTTTAACTGATTGATTGATTTTATAGTTTTAAATGCATAATAATACACTGGAGTTGGTAAGATAATTCAGTTGTGTTTTCTTGATGCATGTATTGCTTATCTTGCGTGACTTACAGTAAATTGTGAAACTGAAAATTAAATGTAAGCGGAAAATTACTTGATTAAGTGAATGAATGAATGCTATCCTTACTAAATATCCTGAGAAATGGTGGATGGACTGGGTACATAGGGAACCCTACCGTGAATGTTGCCTTATACTGGACGGGGTATCGAAAATTAATATTTTGGTGCTCATACTGGACGAGGTATGAGGACAACCCATTTCACCCTCATACCGGACGGAGTATTGAGGGATAATATTTTTGGCACTCATATCGGACGGAATATGGGGATAGCCAGTTAGTCGACAATGTTGAATAAGGGTTCACACATAGTGGG